TTTTTTTTTTTTTTTTTTTTAATGAATTTTTTCTTATCAAAAATATCACAAATCAATACAGTCAAAACCCGTAATGTAACGGAAAAAGAAAATCGAAAAAATAATAACTGTTCAAAATATGTAATTAAAATTCGGTGATAAAAAAATTACTTTTTTTTTTCTTTTGTTGATTATCTTACCTCACCAATTTTTGTTGTTCACTGCGCAAGTAATATCTTTTTTCTACCACATTGTTAGCAGTTTGATAAACTGCTTTATAGACTTTAACCACTTGCGGTAAAAAATTTAAAGTTATTTTGAAGACTTCTTCGCTTTGAAGACTGCTGCTTAAGTATTCCGTTATTGTTATAGAAAACTGATTGCATAGATAGTCTTCATGACTAACAGGAGCTGCTAAAAGTTTTTTTTCGTTTTAAAATGTTCCACTTTTTACAAAACGTATTCAATTTTTGTAAAAAATAATTTATTTTCTCTCTATTACTTATTCCTTTACCTCAAAAATATCTGTTGGTATAAAAGATAAACTGAAAAATGAAGTCGAAATCCATGATTCCGCCAAATGCTTACTTGTTCAGAACGTCCTATATCACATTAAAAGTTTTAACAAAATCAATTAACTGCAGAAACTTTACAAATTTCTAGATTACTCAAGTTTATATTGCTTTATTCTTGTCTATAACATTTTGCAGAAAAAAACCAACTTTGACAGCCAAGAAGTTGAGTGCAGAAAAGATAAAAAAACTGAAGTAAAATGCAGTAAGCCGACAACATCAGAAGAATGGCATTCAGTGAACTTTGATGAAAGGTTGTCAAAAACTGTCTTGTGTAAACGTCATTATTTATTCCTTTGTTCCATAATTTTTTTTCACGTTATCTGAAAAAAAAAAAAGAAAAGATGACACCAATAAAGCTTTTTTGCCTTATTAGATAATAACTTTTCTTTTATTAAGAATGTTATTCAGTTTCTGGAAAAATTTTTACATCAAACGGTGACCTTTAAACAGTGGCAAGTTACAGTGGCTAATAAATTAAGAAAAAGAATACTTAGAATAGCTAGGTAACAAGATCTAAACAGCTGAGCAGTGTAATTCTAAGCTTATAAAGCTATTATATACTTCTTTTGCAAAAAAAAACAATTAAAATTTTACTATAAAGATCTGTCAGGCAATTACAGGTATACACTGTCGGTGTAACTGTGATGCGTTAAAGAATTTTTTGATACTGATAACGACATTTTTTGCATCATCATTCGTGACTTAATCCTCTGTTATGCCATTTTTCGCTTTGCTTTTTTTTTTTGACTTTTAGCAGTCCAATAAATTTCTGATACTGTTTACTTTTGTCAAAGAAAATAAAAAAGAACTATACTAACTACCCCATAGATTACTTTAACAATTGGCTGCCAAATCGTTATTCTTCATTTACTTTTAATTTTTCTTTTGGCAATTAATACTCTATTTTTATCACACAGTATTACACTTGATTGTTACAATAACTTCGTAACTATTTACTAAAAAACATTTACGAATTGTGAATTCCAATAGAGTTTTAGCTGTTAGAATATATAAATAACGTTGTTGTTGCTGTATACAGTAATTTCAAGAAATACCTAACACTTTTCTCTCATCGTATTTTTCAGAATTAAAACAATGTTAGCCTGCAAGCCACTAATGATTCGCAGCGAAAAATACCAAAATTGTTGTTTTTGCCAAAATTTTTGCAATATTTTAATCAAAAAATTAATTAAATTTTAAAAAAAAACAATTAGGAATGAAAGTAAAAACTTGCTTAAAAATTACAGTTGAAATGGGTTTCACACAATTAGCTTTTTCAAGCATTTTTGCTCTTTAGAATTATATCAATGAATACTATGACAGGAATTTCAACTTTAATTTTAAGAGTTTATAACAATGAAGAGGAAGTATTTGGAATTGAAAGCTTTTATCAGAGCAGAAAAACCATAGTAACAATTGAGCATTTCAATTTGCAACTGTATTCAAGACATAAGCATTGAAAGCGACAAGACAATGAAACCATAAAGCTGACGCGACTACTGAACAACTGAATCAGAAGAAACTTTTCTGTGGTAGAAAATGATAACTACATGCGGTACGCACTTGTCATACATTTTCTGAACAATCTAGCTTATAAAATACCTGCAGTAGTGAGAAGATTGTTTTCTTCAACTTTACCAAATAATAGACTTAACTTTTTTTTCTTTTTTTTTCCCCTCCCCCTTCTCTTACGTTTTTTTGCCTTTCGTCTTTTTTCATGAGCATTTTTAAAAAGTCTTTCTCTTACAAATGTTCTCTTTTTCTTTTACAAGTAATTCTTTAACTGTTGAAATAAACCGACTAATAGTTTGGTAGGTATCCGTTTAGAAGTTATAGCACTTGTCTGTATCCTGTGATTCATTTTCAACTTTTTTTATGATAAAACTGCAATCCTTGTGGGTAAGAAGTTTCAACATGCCGTGTAACACGCCAGTTGATCTTCGTATTTTGCACAACTCTGAAGCTCCAATTCTATTTATTTCATTTAGTTCTAGAACAAATTTATCAATTTCCTTCTGAAACCGTATTTGTTTTTATATTTATATGTCTGCTTTTTTTTACAATAACAATTTACTGGGAACATTAAGCAGCAAAATTCACAAAAAAAAAAACGAATAAAATTTCACTTGCAAATATTCGATACGCCGCCTCGCAACTGCTATATCAAATTAGTGGCCTAAGCTAAGTGTTGATCAGCATCGACAATGTCTTTTTAGAAAGTGGCTTAATCAGACTTTAGATCTTCAAAGCAACGAAAAGCAACCGCCTCATTAAATTACCCATATCCTATTTGTGGAATATTTTCAAGACCATTCTCTATTTACGAAGTCTGAAGAATTTTTTTGAACTTGGTCAGGTACATGAGGAAGAAACCGTATAAAATTGTCAAATATTCTTTTTAAATGCTAAACAAAACTTTTCAAATTTACAAAACGTATGTAAAACCTATTTATTTTTAGACTTGTATACAAGAAGCATCTATCAAGACTGTTTTTAATGTAATATTGGAAAGTGTGGTGGGCATTATAGCCCACAAACGAAAAAAAACAGCTTATGTTATCTGTAATTAATCTGTTTAAAAAAAGTACTTAATCTGTATTGGTGTTTAATAAGTATAAAACCTAAAAACCTCTTAAAGCATCGTAATAAAAGTAAAATAAAGATAGATTTTCTTCTTAACACTCATTCAGTTTACCAGTAAGTAGCCTGGTAAAGTTCAGCTTATGCACTTTTGGGACATTAGAAAATTAAACGGTAATGTGACATTTAGAGTGAATTCTATAGTAGCGGTTTAGGCATAAAAAAAGTCTGTCACATGACACTGACTTATAAAACCACTGGTTTTGCCGATCTTTCCCTCCGCGGTTTTTTCACTTGACCTGGTATGTACATAAATATCTCTCTTTTCAAGTCTGCATGATTCTGCATGATCAACGGCGAGAGTATATGCGTAGGTTTGAAGAATGGAAGAAAATCAAAAAACGGATAGATAAAAAATTTCATTTTTAAAATACCGGCAATTATACCAAAATTTTAAAGCTTGTTCTGTTTTCACTGTTTATACTAATATGTTATGTCATGCAAAAGGTCGGGCTTTTCCTACATTTCAAGCGGCTTCTGCACGTTACTGGAGGCATGATAGGACAGTCGTTCTCATCCTGCGCTCCATACCGGTTGGCTCGATAGGACACCAGCCTGCGTATGTTTCCAACTATGCTAAATTAGATTGGAACTGGAGGATCGTACAAGTTGTGAGCAATGTTAAAATCAAATCGAAAAAAAAGGTTTATCTGAAAAGGGTTATGCATTATTGTCAATACTTATAAGAGTGTCTGTCAGATGAAAAGAGTATTTAATACAATAATAAAGCATCATAATTTTAATGTCTCTATTCCCAACTAACTAGTAGATTATCCTCTGACATTCCGCTTGAGTTTTTTGGCAATTTAGCGGCAAAGTGAAAAAAAAAATCAGTGAAGTCAGGTGCTTTATTATAAATTTTTTGTTAAAAGATAATAACAAATAAAAGTGAATGAACCGTTTAAAAAAACTACGACTATTGGAAGCAAATAAAAGTATTGCAAATTCACCAAATATTTGTTAAAAATTTATGGGAAGAGTTTGTTGAAGGGTCTCACAAGTGACGGTTGGTGAATGAAGTCACATGGGTAACCTATAAAGGTAAAATAATAAAAAAATTTTAGTCAAGGTCTAACACGAACAATATCACTAGCCGATTGAAACTTGCCTTTCCCAAGCTGCTGTCCAGCAGGAAGACGAGGAAGGCCGCCTTAAATCCAGAATCACAGTTTTGACTATTTATCTGAAAATTGGTGTATGAGAAAACCATTTTCCAATTTCTGAAAACCTTATGCTGATAATATGACAGAACTTATCCTTTCTCTTCTTGGATTACTTTTAAGTTCGAAGATTTGTACGTTTCCGCCCAGATCCCAAGATGAAACGAAAAGAGTTAATAGAAAATAAACAGTTTTAAGTGCCGTTAACCGTCCTAAATTACTTCATGATGGTGTATACATGTGAAGTTAGCATATGAACAAGTTTTTTTAAAGTGGAATAAGGTCGACAGTTTCAAGCAACGATGTGCACGAGTAGTGAAACAGATTTTAAATAAAACTGATGGCAAAGCAGTGAGATAAAGTAAATTAAAAAGATTTTAAGGAAAGAAATTGACAAGATTAAAGGAAATTTCGAAAAAGTACCAAAGTTTTCTGAGAAAGAAGTGTGTCAAAAGCCTGTTTCAAACGTTTTTCACAATTTAAAAAAAACTTCAATTCAATTTTTGTACAGAACGACCATAGAGTGATAAAATAGACTAAAAGATTTTTTTGC